AGAAAAGCAACAAGCATAAAAGTTATAAACATGCACATGGCATGATATAATAATAGCAGCTGAGTAAGAGGGTATTGTATAAAATTATTAAATATGATAAAAATAATTTAACTGACGTTGCACATTGCATTGTATAGAGATAGAAGCCAATAGGAATAAACAGTAGACTGTATAATGTAGTAAGGTAATGATGAGCTATATAATAAGTAATGTACACAGTGTATTGTATAAAAATAGCATTAATGTATCAAACAAGATGAAATTAATAATGTCATATTTGGAAAGCATAGGGAAGGTTCAAACTTAGGGTAGGAGTGTGACGTCAGAACCTGCGCATAAGCGCAGAATATTAAGTGCACATGCACACCAGGCCTCTTGCTCGTAGACCGTTGATAAGTAAAGTCGTATGTAACAAACTGTGATAATAAGTATTTAATAAATGGTGATCACCTAAAGTATATGTGTATTAATGTATGGATTGACCCTAATGGAGTAACTAGTGATATGTTACATATATTTTATTTAATAAATAGCCTAAACATTATTTAAACTGCAAGCACGAAATTAAATTAAAGTAACATGCATTTATGACTGCAAAACAAATAAGATTGAATGCAAAAATATATCCTAACTTTTTAAGCGTAGGTACCAAATATAACAAAAACATAATCGAGTAGGTAATCAAATATAAAATAATATTTAAAATCCTACTTACCCCAGTATAACAAAAACCAAAACCGATATATTTATTACAGGTGGCCATTCTGCATTGCAGAATAATCTCAAATTTATTAAAAAAAAACCGTTGCATACGACATTATGACAGCACTACCAGAGATAAAAAAGGGCACTACCTCTTGTAATATGTAATATCTCTATAAAGTAGGGCACCACAATGATATTTTACCAACTTGCCCATATCGAGGATTTATTCCGAATATTGCCGAACCGTTAAACTTTAGCTGCTAAAGTATTATAATTATGGCGATAAATTTGAATATTTAGTAGTGGTTATGTTAACTTAACACAAAGATGCCGAGTACAAAAAGTACTCCAGTACATTAAATGTACTCGAGTACAACAAAAGTACTCGAGTACAAAAAATGTACTCGAGTACAACCAATGTACTCGTGTCCATTTTTTAAATTTTTAATTTAAATAAGTACAAGTACAAGAACTTTTTTTGAAATGTACTCTGGACTGAGTACCGAGTACATAAAAAGTATTTAAAGTACAAAATTTGAGTACAAGTACTCGAGTACCGCACAGCTCTGATACCATGGCAACACTGTTATGCACTTGCATAGTTCAGAGAAAAACCTTAAGGTTATAAATTTAAATTATGGCACTATGACATCAAATGCATTTCTGTGAATTCACCTGGAGCTCATTAGCTGAATCATTGCTGAGCTCATCCTGAGTTCTTGATGAGATCATTTGTGAAATTAATTTTTGGTACAAATTTCTTACTCATTTGTTTAAATTTTAAGGTAAATTCGAATTATAAATTATATTTGCTTGTCGTAATGTTGACATGGAGACAATACTAAACGCAAATGCGTATCGTACTGTGCTTATTATGGTATACAAATAAAAAAATACTTTTTTTTGACGTAATCCTGACGGGGTACTACTGCGGTCGTTAATTGTTTTTATTTCTTTCGTTTAAAATCTGGAAAAACCTGTTAAAGTCAGGGAATTTGAAATGATTGTTAAAGAGGAACCCTGTATAAATTTATTTTCTTCTTCCAGATTCATGTGCACAAAATGTTCGGCCACCCTCGTGAGCTACGACTTAACGTGTCGCCACGTGAAAGGGCTACATGACACCCGCACCCCGTGGGAAGTCATCAAACCACTTCCGCGTCACAAAAAACTCGAAGTTTGGATACAGGAGCTGCTACGCGCGCAGGCCGACGAAATAATCCGCAAACAAGGCGTGGTCTCCGCGAAGATCGACGGTGACAAGCCGAAGATTTACGAGTGCGAGTTTTGCGATGAAAAGTACTTCAGCAAAGTTTACATTCAAGAGCACCAATTGGTGCACTGGAGGGACAAGCCGTTCCAATGCGGCGCGTGCACTTTTAACGACGTGAGACGCGAGAAAGTCGTCGAGCACTGGAAGAAGGAGCACAAAGGTGAGTGCAAACTCTCGCTTAAAGCACCTCTGGTTGCTACGGTCATTGCAAACAAAGACGAGAGCGACAAGGCATCCTATACAGACGCTGTTATCTTAGTTGAGGAGGAAAACGATGATGTCACGACGATGGAGCAAGTTTTACAGGTGGTGGAAGAAAAAGAGGTTAAAGAACCATCAAGTAATAAAGGTCAAATAGTTTTTACATGCGATGTGTGCGCTGTGTACACGTTCAACCAATTTCAGATGGAGGATCACGTGACAACAAAACACAACTCCACAAAGTGCTTCAAACGGTTCATATGGAAAGCGTATGTAGACAACCCACAATACAACGTGCACTGCGGGTATTGCGACGTGCAAGGGCCGGATTTAATGGTGCGGGACCATCATTCGAAAAAACACGCCGAAAACAAGTACAAACCGTACAAATTCACGTGCGAATTGTGCCCGCAGAGGTACGCGTCCAGCGAACACTTTAAAATGCATTTCGCACGGGAACACAACAACGCCGAGGTTAGGTACAGGACTTTGGACAACACGCTGCGCGAGCAAGTCAAACGAGTTTTAAACCTTTACAAGTGCGTCTTGGCAATTTTAGGTCCACCAACTTTAAAACGAAAAACATAAGGTTGGACGTACGCACTCACACGAAACCGTTTAGTTGCGGCGTTTGCCACATGAGGTACTCGTGCGCCAGTCAAGTTAGGACCCACTGCCTCAAGAAACATCCAAATCAAGGCGAAATTATCGAGGAAGATGAGGAAAAGTTGAGAGAATCATCGGAGTTGATGAGCATCATCATCGACACTGCCGTTCCAGTAGACATCACAAAAAAATCCATCACCGCGATGGAAGAATTCTCGTACTACGGCACGCAACCCGCGATACTCGACCTGAAAAACATCAAAACCGTCGTAGAAGTGAACAACGTTGGTCTTAACGTGACCGCAGAACAATTGGGCAACATTTTCAACTTGAATTGTTACGTGGAAGTCGACAAATACGTCCCCGAAATCAATCCTTGACCGCAGGTCAACAACGATTTGATCGTCGACAGAAAACATGGACGATTTAGACCGTTTTTAAACCTTAGACCATGCACCTACTCTGTCTAGAAGTATATGGTCTTTAAACCTTAGACCACCTGTTCTGTCTAGAAGTGTATGGTCTTAGTTTATCCCCGACTGATTAGTAATTATTAATATTATAGGCTTATATTGACTTTTAACCTGTGATTATTAATTAATTATTATTATTATTATTAATTGTAAAGTGATTATTTAGGTTTAGAACACTTATTTTTGACAGCTCTTAGGTTTAAATTTATTTTAATAAAGTGTACCAAATACTACCAAGTCAATATATGAGGAGTGATATTAAATTATTAAATGAGTCAATACTTTATAATCAGACAAAACAAGTCCCCAGCACCTATTAGAATCAGGCCAATTCTCTAAAATGAGTCGTTAACGTTAGCCATTAGAATTAGTGGTTATCGTTATATTTAATCTGCCTGATTGGTCGAATTAACTGACCACCACTGATTCTAGTGGCTAACGTAAGCGACTCATGTTATTGAATTGGCCTGAATATGTTGTTTACATTTAAACACTTTGGTAAGTATACAGGGTGTAATTAATGTAATATAATAAAATGGGTAGTTCCTTAGGGTCCATAAAGAAGCACCTGAAACTTTTCTAAAGACTAAAAATAATTTATAATATCCTTTATCCTACCAAAAAGTACGCTACTGATCCACTAGGAACTTTAGGCTAATCTGGTTGCCTAATTTAATTTATTATGTTAAGGTTGGTAACAACCAGCGTTGCCAGATTTTGTTTAAATTTAGCTTAATTACAAAAATGACAAAATCAAAAATGCAAATTGTTAATTTGGCGTTTTTATTAATTGTTGATTATGTCATTTTTGTAATAAAGGTAAATTCAAACAAAATCTGGCAACTTTTGTGCTTTTGGATTTATTTACACAAATTGAATGTTTAAAGTTTAACCTGTGAACGTCCTAAACATTTAAATTGTATAAGAACAGAAAATATTATTTGTATTCGGGCCCGCGCGCGTATATAAGCGCTGTGCGCATTTATTTGCGCCTTTTACAGTTTTCTGCCTCAAATAAAAAATTCTCAAAAAAGCGTCAATTTTTTAATCACAAAAAATCTTATCTCAAAAAAATATTTTAATTAAAAAAAAATTACGGTCAAAATAAAGAAAATATAATATAAAAATGCAGTTTTGCACATTTATTGAAAATGGTTCTGAAACAAAGTTTATATAATATTTTAGTGGTAATTTGTGAAGGCCCAGGCCCAATATAAACAAAATTACTCATGAAACTTCAGAATATTTTTTTGTTTCAAAGTATCATTTTAAAGAACAAACAATATATTTTGTTTATTCAGGCTCGCGCGCGTACATTTGCGCTGTTGCGCCTCTATTTACGCTATAGAGCCTGTATTTGCGCTTTCGCGTATATTACCCTCATAAACTTGATGTGCAGCGACTGAATTTAAAGGTGTAGAAATTAGTTTTAAATGTTTAAAATATAAAAAAAATATATTTACCAATGTAACTCCGGTAATAGCTGAAATTTTGTTTCGCATAACTTTCGGCACGTTCCCTTTTTCTCTATGGCGCGAATCCATTTATAATTTTTACATAATAAAAGGCAAAGTTTTTTGGGGGGCCCTTTTTGATCAAAATTTTTAGAATGGAAACCGAAGAGAAATAACACGCAATTGATGTGCGTAACCTACGTTAAAGTAAATTTTTTGAAAGCCTAAATAAAACTCAATATTTTAATCAAAGTAACAACATTTAAAAACAACATAAATAAAATTGACTTAAGTTTGTATGTAAACAAATATTATTTTGTTAAAAACCAGACAAATCAACATTTAAAAACAACAAATAAATATAATTAAACTAAAAGTTTGTATGAAATACAAATATTATTTTTCTAAAAAGGAGACAAATTAGTTTTTCTTTCCATTTATTTTACTAATTTTATTCCTTGCAACATCAAAGAAAAGTAAACCTGCAGCTTTTTCTATGCTTTCTGGAGGAACCTAAAAAATGTAATCAATTAATATTTTTGTTTTTGTAAATTAAATATTAATAAAAATTACTTGAAAACTGCTTAAGGGAACATTATCATCTATCACTTGATTTGGCATTACATAAGCCTCCATTTCTAATTTTCCATCTTGGGTTTCCCCTACTACCACCTTATAAAAGTGTGTTGGAACAGCAACATTATTTGCGCCAATTACTTCGTAAGTAATATATTTTTTGCCATCAGACTCCTTTCTATAAAAAGTAATTGTAGTTATATTATTAATTAATATTTTAAAATACAGTTTTTTTTAAGAAAATATGTCAAACTCTATAGTGTGATTGGAATAATAAATAAATTGGAATTTATATAATTTTTATATTCAAGGAAATATATTAATAAAAATTATTTAAAAAATAAGGAACTACTAAAAAACCCATAATGTATATTAACCTAGGTTAAAATAGGGGTCCTGTATACTCTATAGAGCAGTAAAAATATGGTTTTTTTTTAAGAAACTATAGTTTGATTGGAATAATAAATTAATTTGCATTGATATTTTTATAATTAATGGGGTCCCCATTAAGGAAATATAGTTACTATAATAACAATTATTTAAATAAATAATGAAATTCTAAAAAAACAAAAATCAATAATTATTATAATTATAATGTATGTATATTAACCTAGGTAAAAATAGGGGTCCTGTACAGCAGTATACATTTACATAAGCTTTTGTCAATTTTCTAACATATTTTTCCAATCTATTCCAGGAATCTCTATTAAAACCTCTTCCAACCTGAGGTGCCATATTGGTCAAGTAAAAAGTCTGTTCAACATGTTTTTGATCACGTTTATGGTTACCTGCTGCAGCCATGTGCCCCCTGTCATATCCCGATCCTTTATAATCACTATTATTGGACCTAGAATATTACAATAAAAACTTAAACTATAATTTTATATAGTTTAAGAATGTATCTATTCTACCTAAAGTAAGTGTGTATACTTTCATCCGGCTTAAATTCGCACTTTGCTCTATCCACTGTCTCATTACGCTTAACACTTTCACTTGTTAGGTGTTCAAAGACCCAATGGGCAACTTTAGTTCTATGATCATAACTTAAAACATAATCGTCGAAAGAACGTATATTGTCATAGCCAGGAAATCCATATTTCATAATTTGTGAGACTCTGTTTGCTTTACTTTCTATTGGTGGTGGAGGAAAACTTGTGGCAGCTGATACGGTTCCAAAAAACGGTAAACCGGGTAGTTTTTTAATGGTTTCAGTCTCGAAAGGTTTAAAATTATCGTAATAGGTCCCTGCTATGAAACAACTTACGCCTACGGAGCCGACTAAAGCGAATTTTCCTATTTTTTTAAACATTTTTAGATTTTTATTTAAAAATAGTTTGTTAGGTTGGAATCTTTAAATCAACAAAAATGTAAGGTTATCTCAGAGATATGGAGATACAGTTGTATTCAATAAAAAAGCGTACAAGAATTAGAATGAGAGAAAACTGTCAAAATAATATTATTGCTTAAAACCGGCTTATCACTGACATAAGTCATTAAAATAATTACTATAGGTTATAAAGAGCATTGACGTCGTGGGTTAATTAAATAATATTACAAAAATTATTACCTTTTACAAATGAAAAAAAAACAAACATTAAAAAAAATTTAATATTTAGTCATGCATCCCTGTTTTTCTATTACTTGAGCCAATCTATTTGGGATGAACTGAATGAAATTTAATACAATATTTGGATTAATATCTTTCCAGCAGTATAGTAGGTATAGTATTATACTATAATAGTTTTAGTTTCCCATAAATCCTCAGATATCCCAAAAAAGCAGCATCCTGTTCAGGGGTGGACATTTTGGGACGACCTGAACCAACTTTTTGGTTTAGTAAATCTTCCTGTTCCCAGCGTTGCTTAATTTTTAATATAGATTTTTTATTTCTATTATACCACAGTACGAATTGACCATTCTTCTTCGATTCTTGATACTATTTGAGCCTTTTTAACTGACGAGGCATTTTTATTTTCTACTGTCAGTTATAGTGACTTAAGTCAGTGGAAAGCCGGTTTTACGCAATAATGTTGACAGTTTTCTCTCATTCTAATTCTTGTACGCTTTTTTAATGAATACAACTGTACCTCCATATCTCTGGGTTATCTATTGTTTAGTTCGGTTCAAGGATACCTGTGATAGGATAGTCAATTATGTTGAAAAGTCATAGAAATAATCACAATAATATTATTTTTCTGGTGACGTAATCTTTTCTTTCCAATAGCCACAAAGATCAAATCATAGAAAAAGTATATATCAAATCACGAATTGTGATTGGCCAGTCAAAAATCAATTGTGCTTATAAACCACGCCCACAACTCGGAGTTTATACGGCATGTTTTTGTACCATGCTGCACACCCAAAAGTCTGACCTTGACATTTGAATAGAAATAATTGAGGTTATCCATCTGTCAGTTTAACGATGATTTCGTCTTATTTTCTGAATATAATACGAAAAATGTATTTTTTCTACAAGCGTGCGGAAAGTTGGTACTTTCCGCACGCATAACTGTGCGGAAAGTAGCACTTTTCCGCACGCAAATACTTTCCGCACGCAACCCCGCAATTGTTAAGCAGAGTAGTAGCATTTCCATTATTGGTTTCTATGGTTTTTAAAATACTAAACATAATTAATTAAGTCCTAAAACGTCAAGGTTTTGAGTTTAAAAATAGAAAGTGAAAGTGAAAATTACGAGATTCCCGAGTATCCTGGAAGAAGCAAAAAAAGCCAGCTTGGAATTACTTCCTGAAAAATCACGGGCGAGATACGAAAAAGAATTCAACATATTTAAGCAATGGTGCAATGTTAAAACAAAATGTTTTCCATGTTATTTCATGCGCTTGTAGAAAAAATATTGTACCTACCACGCGCGGAAAGTGTCTTTTCCGCACTCGACTGATGACCGAACTCCGCTACGCGTCGTTCGTTCAACGGCAGTCGCGTGCGGAAAAGTAGCACTTTCCGCACTAGTTAGGTAAATAACTATTTTTGGTTGTAAATGTGATAATTTAGAACACAAAGCAGTGGCGGCTGGTGGAAATCCATATAAATATCTCAATTAGATATGGGACCCACACAAAATTTATATGAGTTTATAATGAGATTAAATAAACAAGTTCTGCATGATACATGCAAGTTCTGCGCAAGCAGAATTTAAATTGAAGTTTGCAAAAAAGATAACTTTTTGCTCGGCCGTACCGGCCCCATGGCGCCCCCAATAAATATAATATAAATTTAATTTGGTGCAATTTATTATTTGCCATAGTTTATCGACAAATTTTAAATTTTATTTAAAAAATCAAAATTAGGTATACAGATTTTATACCAATTTTAAATATTTAATATTTCTTTTCAAATAAAAATACCATTTGATTTGTTATGAAACGTTGTTTATTATTTTAAAGATATCGCATTACTTAACCATATTTTATACAGACTTATTATTATTAATATTATTATTTTAATGTGCTAATTAAAGGAGAACACACTGACAAACACAAATAAACAGCTACCTATATAAAACAAAAACAAGGCCGTAGAAAAGTAAATGTTAACATATTAATATAAATTATGTCCAAAGCTGTGGCGCTTAATTTTTATACTTTGATCATTGTGTTATTGCATGGTCTAAAAAAAGAATTAAATGTACGTTAATAAGAAATATTTGTCTTTTAAATTATTACCTGCGAATCGTAGGCTCGCGAAAACATTTTGAATTTCTCGAAGAACTCGACTTTTTTTAATTTACGATTGTCTATTTTCTTCCCTTATAAACTGGTCAAATGTAGGTATTTTATAGTACAAACAACACATCAGACTAAAACTTTCAATATTACATCTATAAAAAACGCTTATTATTGTTTTTCTGCTGTCTTGTAAAATTTACATAATGCAGTTAGGTCACTTCGTGACCATATGTACTTGCGAGCCTAGACCAAACTGTTTTGGTCTAGGCTTGCGAGTATAATCGAATCGACTATCCTGTCCACGTATATCCTTGGTTCAGTTCAAAGACCAACATTTTTTTGTTCAGTTCCATAGCTAACTACTAGTTTAAAACAGGCATAGATTAGATAGATTAGATCAGGTGATTTTTATTTTTTTACAATGAGTTTAATTGGAAAATTGGCTTTTGTTACAGGTAAAACTTTTTTATATTTACTTAAATAGTTAATTTACTACCTAAATTCAAAACCCTGTAGAAATTTTTCTCTAAAAAAGTTTTAATAAGTAAAAATAAGAGTTTTGAAAGTATTACTTTCTCTTAAAAACTCTGAAACTCTGAATAAGACTTATTAACTTGGACATTGTCCAATGCACAAATTCAGAAGTCTTAGGGCCGGTTTATCAATGTCTAACTAAAAGTGGCGGTTAAGTATCTTACAGTTATCCGAATAGAAGTGTTTTTTTTTCACCTCGTACGGTTCTAGTTTCTTATCTGCCAGTTTCTAGGCAACACTGCCAAGATACATTTTAATTGGTTAATTTAAATTCATGGCATGCGCATAAAATACATAACCACAAACGAGTCGTTTGAAACGACTATTTTATTTTGTGTATATTATGCTTCTTTATTATTTTATAGGTGTAGATATGTATGAGTATGAGGCGCCGTTTGCCCGTAAATTATTTTTGCTATATAAGAATATGTTTTATATATAAACTTTAAATTTCCTATATCCTATATATATACCTATATAGAAACTTTTTAGTTCAGATAATGCCGCTTGGAAATGAGGGCGCTTTGCGGTTATCAACTAAAAAGCACTGTTGCCAGAGTGTGCCAATGCAAAGTACTTTGCATTGGCACACTCTGGCAATAGTGCTTTTTAGTTGATAACCGCAAAGCGCCCTCCTTTAATTGTTGCTATCGTTTTGTTCCGCTAGATCTGGTGGAAGATATGTTGTTGGAAACACTGACCAAAACGTTTTGGTCAGTGTTTCCAACAACATATCTTCCACCAGATCTAGCGGAACAAAACGATAGCAACAATTAAAGGATTTTACTTTTTTTAAATACCTATAGGTAATATATTGGTCAGTTGGTCTATTTTTATTGAAGGGAAAATTTCTCTTCTTTGGTCGCCTCTATTTCTCTAAGAATATAAAACAAACCTGCATATAATTCCTCCACTTGTGGAGAGTCCACAATATGGAGCACCCTATCATTTATTTTTACTGACAACACCCCATTTACCATTTTAATACAAAGTTTAAATTCGGTTTAAGAGCAATTGTACCTACTTAAAATATTTTAAATTTCAAATGTAAACAACTTTTTGACAGATCGAAACAGAAAAATATATATTAAAAAGAGAAAGACTATTAACCACGTTGAATAACTAGCTCAGCGATATAGTTTTATGGTCTGGTATTTGTGACGTCATAGTTAGGATTTTTGAACGCACTCTAAACGCAAAAATGCCTTAACTATTAACCAAGGTTAAGTTTAATAACCATAGTATTTTATGGTATTTACGCGAAAAAACGACTTTATAGTTTATATATAAAAAAATATTCTTATATACAAACGGCGCCTCATAGTTCTTCTCAACTTCTAGGTATTTAAGGATACCTCATTCACGCCATATGCACGTATTAAAGAAAATGTTATCCAGAAATAAAACGTTTATTCTTATTATTTTAATTGTTTTAGGAGCTGGGTCAGGCATAGGAAGAGAAACATGTAAAATTTTAGCAAGAGAAGGGGCAAATGTGGTTGCTGCCGATAAATTCCTAAAAAACGCATCGGACACCGCCGAAAATTTACCAAAAAAGGCCGACCAAAGTCACACCAGCGTGGAATTGGATGTTACCAAAAAAACAAGCGTTCAATATACTCTTAAAAAAACGCTGGAAATTTATGGGAAGCCACCATCAATTATAGTGAATAGTGCTGGAATAACTAAGGATAATTTTGTTTTAAAATTATCTGAAGAGGATTTTCAGGATGTGATAGATGTTAATTTAAAAGTAATAACCTTTAAATATTCTAATTTTAATGTTTTTTGATAAGTTAAAACTTATTGTACAAAAAACAAATACTTTTGAAAAAAATATATTGCCAATTAACAAAATTAAAGGTACTTAAAGTAAACAAATTAAAATATAACAAAGAAAAAATATTGCCTATATAACAATAGAGTAATTGCATCAAAAATGAAAATCCCTAAAAACCTTTTTAATGTAATCTAGAGGTAAAAACACATTGCAAAAATATTTTTTTATATTCCAAAAGTTCAACCCGGCCCCAAAATATCAAATTGAAAAAAAGGTACTTTACAAACGTTCCGAACTCCCGCCATATTGCATGACGTCATAAGCTTCACCAGCTGTCAGAAATCAAGATGTCAACAAATAATAAACACCGATAAAGTTTATGTTTAACATGGAAAACGCGAAACCAAAAATTGGTTGTAAATATTGTTTTGTGCCTTGTTGTACAAATACAACCTGGAAAACTCCTGGGAAAGTTGTCCCTTCAATTATCAAAAGCAAAGTTTATGACCCTACACTGAGAGTAGTTACGGCTCAGCCGTATTTTCTTGAATTTATTAATATTTAACATACCTATTCAAACCATATACCTAGTAAACGACATTTTATTTTACTTGCATTAAAATGATCCTTAAAATGAGCAATAAAATGGTGACGATGTTTTGATATCGCGCCGAGCTATTTTAATCCACTTTATCCTTATTTTCCCTTTTGGCACGGTGATAAACCTTTTCCCAGGAGTTTTCCAGGTTGTATTTGTACAACCAATTTTTGGTTTCACGTTTTCCATGTTAAACATAAACTTTATCGGTGTTTATTATTTGTTGACATCTTGATTTCTGACAGCTGGTGAAGCTTATGACGTCATGCAATATGGCGGGAGTTCGGAACGTTTGAAAAGTACCTTTTTTCAATTTGATATTTTGGGGCCGGGTTGAACTTTTGGAATATAAAAAATATTTTCGCAATGTGTTTTTACCTCTAGATTACAATAAAAAGGTTTTTAGGGATTTTCATTTTTGATGCAATTACTCTATTTTCTAAATACTACAATTTTTAAAGGGACTGTCTACAGTTCCTACCAGTAGGAACTTAAGTCTTCAAGACTAAAGTTCCTACTGGTCGGAACTGCAGCCACTGAGTCAAAAGTTACTACCAGTCGGAAATTCTGTTATGGACGCCAAAGTTACTACCACCTGTTTAGATTAAAAATGGCCTATTTGGGAAATAATGTTCAAATCTTTACTTGTTCTGCACAAAAAAAAACATTTTATAAAAATCTTTGGAAAACTTATTTTATTACAATAATGTTTTATCATTGAGTAAAGTATTACTTAATGGTCTAATATTATATAGGTACAATGCGTTATAAATGAAAAATTGAATCAAACATATTTTTTCATTATTGTATAAAGAAGTTTTACTAATCTTATAAGAAAGAGTATTTCTATAATAACTATATTTTTGGTATCTTTGCTAAAAGGCTTAAATTCAAAATATATATTTAACAACAAACATTTATTTAGTAAAAACAAAAATAAAATGTAACTTAAAATTAATGGTAAACATAAAAATATATCCTTTTTAACTATTTATAAATAAAATATTAAAGTATCTTGCGTTATATATATATATATATATATATATACATATATATATATATATATACATATATATATATATATAGGTATATGTATATATCTGCCGTGCTTAATGAAAACGCCGTAACCAACAATTGTGCGATTTTTGTTTTACGGCATTTTCTACTAGAAAAATTCATCCTGCGTCTATCCCCGGTACTCAAAAAACCGTATCTATATATATACGGTTTTTTGAGTACCGGGGATAGACGCAGGATGAATTGTTCTAGTAGAAAATGCCGTAAAACAAAAATCGCACAATTGTTGGTTACGGCGTTTTCATTAAGCACGGCAGATATGTGCATAATATATGCGCAGGACTTTAGGATGTGATAGCTCATACAAAAAGATGAAAAAAGTCGCTATTAATTTACCCTCTAAAATGCACAATTTTCGAGATACCTACAGGGTGTGTAAATTTTAGAAAAAAAATTGTTTTTTTCGAATATCTCCGGAACCATTTATCGTACAAAAAACAGCTTTTGTAAGCATTTTCTACTCATAATAAGCTATGTTTTGTGCCAGAAAATTTTTATTTTTACTTATAATTGGTGGAGATTTTGAAGGGGGTAGCGGGTGTTTTTCTCCTCAACTTCTACGCCCCTGAAAAAAGTACGGTTTTGAGAGGCCCATTCCATCCGCCAATGTTTTCTACACAAAAAAGGTACTCTTTGTCATAAGCTCTAAAATTGACCGTTTTCAAGAAAAATCAACTTTTATGTTTAAAAACATGGTCAATTTAAATTTTTTTTTACTAATTAAACAAAATTTATTTTAACGTTAGAACAAGTAACAAAACCAAACGATAATTGCAAAATTAAAAAAAAAAAAATTCAAAAGTTAAATTAAATGTTGGAAATGTCCACTGTTATCTTCAATAGCCGAATTATTACCTATACACACACACAGTATAGACAAAGAACGGGAACCACAGAACACCAAGTTCCTACTGGTAGTAACTCTTGACCAGGTGGCTAAAGTTCCTACCAGTAGGAACTTTAGACTCGGCGACTAAAATTCCTACTGGTAGGAACTGTAGACAGTCCCATTTTTAAATTAATATGAATAAAAATCTAAAAATTATACATAAAAGTTAGGTTTTTCCAACGTGGGAAAAACGTTGTTTCTACGAAAAATTTCTACTAGGGAAGTTTTTAAGAGTCGCCATTAGCTGCATCTACAGTTGGCATTAGTCGGAAGCTAAATAAAACTGTCGAAAATGCCGAGTACAGAATTCACAAAACAATGAAAATCCGAATTCACTTACGTATATTTACCAATCTTTTAGTAAATAATTTTCGGAAAATGACGTTTTTTTTTAAATCACCTAAATTTGGTTCCCATTAAAGAGTTAGAAATTTAGGAACCTTAAAAATCGCAGACTCCCAAAAACTTGGGGTGTGTCCCCCCAGACCCCATCGCTACGTCATGGCCAGAGCAGAAAGGGTCTGTTAAACCGTTTACTAGCATGCTAGGTTTTTAACTTTTAAAAAAATTGTTCTGAGTTATATCAGCAGCCAAAATAACATTTCTTTTTAATTGTATGTATGCAAGAGGAAATATTTATGTATTCCCTCATGCTTAGATTAAGATAAAAAATATATAATAATAAAGTTAATAACAATTGTTATTAATTAAATATTTTTTAGGGTACCTTTCTGGTAATACAAACATTCTGTAATGCCATCACAGAAAACAAATTAAAAAATGCTTCAGTAATAAACATTGCTAGTATTGTTGGTAAATATGGTAACATTGGTCAGTCCAATTATTGCGCTAGTAAAGCTGGAGTGGAACTTTTAACTAAATCTTCAGCTAAAGAACTTGGACAATTTGGCATTAGAGTTAATGCCATTTTACCAGGCATAATAGACACAGCCATGATACAAACTGTACCTGATAAAGTCAAACAGAAATTTAAAAGTGTAATTTCTCTAGGCAGATTTGGTCAACCACAAGGTAGGTATTTAAAAATATTGTAGGTCTACTTGAAAATTAAAAGTAGAAATTTAGCTAACAAAGTGTTTAAAAATAATAAAGACAAAACTTGATTTTTAATATAGACAGAAGCTAACTAGTCATTTAAAATTAGTGGAACAATTTGGAAGAAAATTACATGAAAAAATTAATTAGCCTTGAAGATTAAAAATGTTATACAGAATAGTATTTTTTTAAAATATAAAATTGATTTAAATAAAGCATTTAAATATAAAAAACATTAAAATATAAATATAATAACAATAAAAAATATATATGTACATATAAATAAGTTAGAAAAATCAGTAGGTACATACTGTACTTAATATAAAAATTTTAGTAGACCTGCAATAATAATTTAAAATATTTTAGAAATTGGAGAGGTTATTGCCTTTTTGGCATCTGATAAAAGTTCCTACATATCTGGAGCATCTATTGAGGTAACAGGTGGAATGTAATTGGATATACAGGGGTAAAACTTACCAAATGAATTAAAGTATTGCTTTTAAAAAATAACATATTTTTATTATTATAAATTTTTTATAAAACTACTTGTTCTTTTTAATTTTTTTTGCCTGTCTCCATGCCTTGTAATGTGTTTTCTTTTTTTCCTCTATTATTTCCATAAATTTCCTTTTATTATATTTGTTAAATTCGGCATCAGCCAATAGTTCATCAACTAAAGTCTTCTTACGTTCTTTCTTTGTTAATCTGTTATTATAATAATCCAAAGGTGAATCCATAACTTTTCCAATCTAGAACATGTTAAATATTATGTTTTCTTACATTTAGGAAGTTTAATTTTACTAACTTGAAAATATTTGGGCAAAACCTTCAAATCATTTTTCTTATAGAAATGCTTTGGATCCAAAACAGATCTCATTTGAATAACTTCTAAATCACTCTTAACTTCATCAGTAACTTCAGTAGCAGGTAATCCATACCATTTCTTTCCTTTCGTTTTTTCCCTTTCTTTCTACAAACCAAGATTTAATCTTAAATTTCCTGAAATATTTAGTAATTAATTAATATTTATAAATACCTTTCTTTGTTCCTTTAATTTTTTCTCAGATTCATCATACCTAGGGACTGCATAAAGTTTTTCAAAATCTTCTGTTACTACAGATTTTTTTAACACCTCACTCACATCTGGTGTATTAATTTCATCAAATTTACTTTTTTTCTTTTGCTTAGGTTTATCTGGATTTCCAACCCAGCCCATTGATTTAATAAAATCATCGGTCATTGAGGATTGCTTTGGTGTTATCGGTTTCTTTTTATTTTGTTTCTTTAAATCGTCCTTATAATCTTTCAGCAGTTCCTGCACAAAACTAAACCGTTTTTCTTTATCACTGATTAAGGTTTTCTCGTTATCGACTTTGCCATAATTTTTATCTTCGATGTCTGAATCTCCTGCTATATCAATAACAAAATTCATTTTTGTTTCTCAATCAAAAAATAGTGCAGAACACGTATATTAAGTTTGAGGTTATGTTCTGTGAAAGAACACCTAGTGTTGCCAACTCTAGACATGCGTATTATGTCCTAAACCATAAGATTAGGTTTAAGCCTGATTTATAGATTGTTTTCCTTCCTTCCTCCCGTAAAAGATGAACAATACGAAAACCGTAGTGCCGTTTATAGATTCCCGTACGGAATTGTATTGTTTATCTTTTACGGGAGGAAGGAATGAAGGAAGGCAATCTTTAAATCAGGCTTTAGGATTATAGTAGGTATTTTCATGAGACAAGGAAACATGGTATGCTACTATTGAACCAAATTTCGTTCGCCACGCGCACGGTCTTATATATACAGGTCTTGCAACTTCGCCCAATTTCAATAGGAAAAGTGACCTCTTTAATGAGACACCCACCAGATGGCGCATCGAGTTGAGGGTGAACCATAGATGTTTAAAGGTCGTTTTTACCTTCTTTATCTTTGGGTTTTACAATCGTTAGATAAGCTCTCTGGTGGATAATTTTCTTAGATAGAAGGTTTCTATGAAAGTTATCAGCCAAATAAGCTAACTTAATCTAACGATTGTAAAACCGGCTCTAAGTCCTTAAAGTCTATGGGATAAAGGTCAAATGAACTACCTACTTATGTTCTGTGAAGAAACATAACCTACATTTTTATAAACAAGCTTGTGTATTTTGTTACAGGGAGTTTTTACTTATTGTTATTGTGATATTCGTTATTGTTATATTATATTGTTCTATGTTTTCTTGTTATATTTGTTCTTGTTATACATTTGTATTTGTGCTTTTTAATAGACATGAAGTCCTGTGTTGTGCCAAAATGTAACCAGCAAAGCTATCGTTCCGGCATTAAAATTAAGCGATCCATGTTTAAAGTGCTAACAAATAAGGAGCGGTTAAAAACATATTATTGACACCTTCACATTTTGTATGATTATTATATAGGTAATTAAGCACATCGTGTTGGTGAAATATATATTATTTTAAATAAACAATCAACCCATCCCCGCCAAGACAATAAAAAAATCGGTTATTAATAAATTAGCCAGAATATTGGTTGGTTAGTTTGTTGTGTTACTAGAAATTTTGGTTTTCATATTAGCCAAGACCCTTGGTTGGTTTACAAACTAGCCGCTAATTTAGTTAAAAATACATTTTCAATTAAAATAGCTGACAGTTTGGCTAGTTTATAAACTACCCAGCTACTTAATAAACTTTCCATGTTTACACATTAGCCGTAACATATATATGATATACGTATGTATTTTATACATTAACATGTTTGGTCTGGGCATGTGATGGCCGAGGACTTTGTGCATAGAGTATAGACTTTGTTGTCCTATTTTGTTAACGTAAATTATCCGAAACAAACTCACAAATATTAAATTTTTGAAAATGTAAACAAAACATAGAAAAAGAATTTAAAAAGTTAGGTTATGGTTATGCAGTAGTTCCACATTTAACTAAGTAGTAGTTTAATTGACTTTACCCCTTCGATCTTAGCGCCACCTAGCGGCTTGGCACGTTAAGGAAGCCACCACGAAGCTTAAAGTTGCAAGACCTGTATATAAGACCGTGGTTCAAGCAGTATTACCATTTTTCTAGAAATCTACTTTTTTGGTAGTTTTTCAACATAATTTTAGTAGGCAAAAAATTATTATTAAAATTTTAATACAAGTAATTACATTTTTAGTTTTTCCACGTAGTAATTTAAATTTAATGCTAATTTTTGTTAACAAATTTCTATAAATTCAAATTTTAAACAAACTTCAACTGTCAAATGAGCAGATTCTTAAAAACCTTTTTCTATGCTTAAAAATATAACCTGTATATTACAGATAACTGTATTTACTATTTACTTCTTTATCTCTGACTACGGCGTTTCAGACTTGCCAACCAGGTTATTTTAAAAATGTAAACTACGCAAATAACCGGTTATTCATCACTCGGATCCGTCCATAAATGATGTCACACACTTAGGGGGGAGGGGGGGGTCGTCGAAAATGTGACAGTTTGTGACAGCCGGGGGGGGGGGGGGTTGGGAGGTTGTGATGTCACAAAATTATAAAAATATTTTGGATATTAAGATTTTATTTTAAGCAAAAATTTCGTGGGGTAGACCTTAAAAAAAATTAAATCAGTGTGACGTGACGCCAATGGGGAGGGGGGGGTCCCATAATTTGTGACACTTTGTTACAAAGGGGGGAGGGGGGGGGGTCAAAAATCTTTAAAAAAAGTGTGACATCATTTATGGACGGCCCCTAACCGAATAATTCAGGTTATTTCAATAACCGGGTAGTAGGTTATTTTTCACTCGAGTGATCCCAACACTACATGATATATCATGTAGTGTTGGGATCACTCGAGTGAAAAATAACCTACTACCCGGTTATTGAAATAACCTGAATTATTCGGTTATGAGTTTCGGATCCGAGTGATGAATACAATGTATACATTGTATTATGGATATTTCACTTGTTGATGCATTATTTAATGACAATATTGTGTTTAATTAGTAATTATTACTAGATATAATGTTATTATTATTTTATAAGCAGAGAGTAATATTATCATTACCGTAGAACGGGGCTATTTGGGATTGTGCGGGTAATTTGGGAAATCTTAAAATATTGTATGTTTGGTACCGCTGACAAGGTAAAACTTGTGCGAAGGCACTGAAACGCGGGCAGTGTGCAGCTGGCGTATGGGGTAGAAGGTTGTGTATTGGAATTTTTCATATTACAGGTTAGTAACGGCACAAAACAATTTTAAAATTAATATACAAAAAATTCCCAATATTTTGATTGTCCAACTTTTAACTATAAGTATGTCTAAATAAATGCGGGGTTGGAAATTAGATTACCAATAAAAAGTTATATGTTAGGTTATGTCACCTAACAAGTTTTAGACTTGTTTAACGAGGCGTTATTTTTTAACGATTTTTTTTTAAAGTGGGGCTATTTGGGACGGTGAGTCGGGGTTACTTGGGCCATTTTTTAAATACCTAAAAATTCTTTCAGAGTGCTAATATGGTACGGAATTATAAAAAAACATTCACAAACTGCCGAAATGGACGAAATTTTCGGCCCTACATGTCGTATTCTCAAAATCAATTAAACCAGGCCGTTGAAGCAGTAAAAAGAAATAGAATGACGATTCTAGAGAACGCCAGGCAATATTCTATACCAAAATCAACTATTGGGCGGCGGGTCCTAAATCAAAATATGACCCAGAAACAACCTGGTCGTCCATTTTTGTTTTCCGAAAGGGAAGAACAGATAATAATCAAACATCTCAACACGGTGGCATCGTGGGGGTTTCCCTTTGACTCTTTAGATCTTCGCCTGTTTCTAAAAGCTTACTTGGATAAGAAGGGAATTCAGGAAAGGCGATTAAAAGATAACTTGCCAGGAAAGGATTGGGTTGCTGGCTTTTTGAAACGCCATAAGAATCAAATTTCCAATAGACTCACTGCAAACATTTCAACAAAACGAGCTGCCCTTTCTCACAACTCTGTTGATAAATTTTTTGAAAATGCCGAGGATGTTTTGCGATCAGCAGATCCTTCTTTACTTATAAACTTTGACGAGACCAATCTAACAGACAACCCCGGAGCAAAGAAATTTATTGTAAAGAGGGGGAGCAGGTATCCCGAACGGGTAATAAATTCAACGAAAACAGCTATTAGCCTGATGTACGCGGGCACAGCGGACGGTGAAATGCTGCCTATCTATGTAGTATACAAGGCAGAACACCTTTGGGATACTTGGACCATAGGAGGTCCCCCCGGAACTAGGTACAATCGGTCTCGAAGTGGTTGGTTCGACTCTGTTTGCTTCGAGGATTGGTTTTTGTCCGTTATTGTTCCATTTTGCAGAGGCAAAGAGGGTCAAAAGATATTAGTGGGTGATAATCTTTCGTCCCATTTCTCAGAAAAAGTCCTAAACATTTGTGCAGAACTAAATATAAAGTTTATTTGCCTACCAAGTAATGCTACTCACGTTATGCAACCTCTTGACGTGGCGTTTTACGCCCCGTTAAAAAAGTACTGGAGAGGAATCCTTACGAAATGGAAAAAAACAGCAGGAAGGCGCTCAACGACATTAACTAAAGATGCATTTCCAGGTCTGTTGACGGAGCTTCAAAACGTACTGAATGCTAATGAAAAGGGTGCGCAAAACCTAATTTCTGGTTTTAATAAAACTGGTCTTTATCCTTTGAATCCAGATAGACCCAAGGCAAGGATACCTCAACAGGAAGCAGATGAAGAAAATGCATCTCTAGTGTCAGAGTCCGTCATTTCAATTCTTAATGAGATGAGAGGTAATACTTCTGACTTCGCCAGCACTTCTAAACCAGCCAGACGCAAGAGGATCGCCGTAGAGCCGGGAAAAAGTATTGAGGCTAAGGATATCGCTACACCATTAACTTCGAAGCCGAAGACAAAAAGAGCAAAGAGACAAGTAATCGAAGATTCATCTTCCAGTGAGCCTGACGAAAATTACGAGACTCAACGACCAACAACTTCGAAGCCGAAGACAAAAAGAGCAAAAAAAAAAGGCACAAATGATTAAAGATTCATCTTCCAGTGAGTCTGATAAAAATTATGACCCTGTTGTCTTAACCAGTAATGACGAGTTGGAAGATTTTGATGAAGTCCATTTTAACTTACCAGCGAATGATGAGTTAGAAGATTTTGATGAAGTCTATTTTAACCTACCAGCGGAAATACCTGAAGAGAAAGAACCTGGAGTGAAAGAATCTGAAGCGAAAAAAGGTGAACGTCAAGAAAACTCCGACTTTAATAATAGTGACGATTTACCTTTGGCCGCACTAGATGAGAACAAGCTTTCTGATGGAACCCCAAAAGTTGGACAATGGGTTGTTGTAGAGTACGAGACAAGAAAGAATCCCCGTCACTTTGTGGGACGAATTGAGGCCGTCAAAAAACGCAAGGGGGACTTGACATTTCTAGTCGATTTTTTAAAGAAATCTTATAAGACTGATAAT